AGGCTCCACCTCGTCAGGATGTGACTGTCATTATAAGATTCAAAGAACAGATGTGGTTAAGTCAAAAACAGTCATGACACCACCGCAGCACACAGTACACAGTACAGTACACAGTACACAGTACACAGTACAGTACACAGTACAGTGTACAAGGTACACAGTACAGTGCAACTTTAAGGCTCACCTTCATAATAGAACAGTGTCCTCACAGCAGGAAGTTCCATCTGCCACCACGGGGGTATTTCCTGACCTTTGCAGTGCCCCACTTCAGGGTCCACTAATGACAGAACAGGAAATCTCAGGCAGAGCCGTCAGTGTGAGCTGGAAAATCATTGTCAAGCAGTCACATGACTTCTTCTTCTTCTTCTTCAGGCTGTGGTCACTCTGACCCCACTTCCTGCCTCCTCACCCTCACACCACCCACATTCACTTCCTGCACCACAACCTCATCTTCTAAAGGTTGTCCCTCCTTCCTTCATAATAAAAATACTCAAAGAAACAGAAGTAACTCAGCGACATCGGTGACAGTCACCACAGCGAAGGCTATGACTTCTAGTCACTTCTTACCAAACACACTCGTCTCCAATGATAATTCTAGAGAGTCTAATTTATTGATTTATTCTTCACAGATTCCAAGTGTGGTGTCGTGGACATAGACGTTCATGTTCCTGCCTGATCTTCCTCCAGCTGGAGCAGAATAAAGCAGCAGTGAAAACCAAGAGGCCAAGCAGATTAAAAAGTCTCATTACTTCTCATGCAAATGTGTCTTTTTCTAAAGGTGGGTTGGGGGCCCGGGGCGGTACGTAAGGAAAGTTTGCTACTTCACACTTACAGTATATAGAGTATAGAGTAGACCATGAACCTTTGGGCCCCTCAGTACCAGCTCAGTACCAGCTCAGTACCAGTTCAGTACCAGTTCAGTACCAGTTCAGTACCAGTTCAGTACCAGTTCAGTACCAGTTCAGTACCAGTTCAGTACCAGTTCAGTACCAGTTCAGTACCAGTTCAGTA